TATTGAATCATTGACCTTAATTGGGTCTAATATAATAAATTATATATTTTTTAGTCAAATTTTTATTATTATTAATTAATTAATTAATATATTACTAATAATATGAATTATTAATGAATACACGTACGAATATAATTAGATTTAAATTTATATTTTTATATAAAATAAAAAAGTAATTAACTACTATTTAATAAATAAATTGTTAATGATTAAGTTATCTTCAAGAATTTAATTATTTAAACTTGACCTATTTGGTAATGATTCATATGAAATTTAACATGGAATTTCTTATAGCTAATAAATATAACAACAATTTAGAAACAAAAGATTGTATTTTAATTATGTATAATGGATTGGATTAAATAATGGAAGGTTAAATGTCTGAAGTTTATTATAATTATTATTTATTAAAAATAAAGTATGTATATTTTTCGTAAATTTAAAAAGAGAAGAATAATGAATAATAACCAATGCGTTATTTTTCAACAAATAAGAAAAAGGGCATGAGAGGAAGGACGCAGACAGCATGATGGATAACGCTATAGAATAATGGCATATGAAATTATGATAATATCTTATTATATGAAATTATGAATTAATAGGTTTTAGAGTAAATTGTAGTATATTTATGTCAATATTTAAAACATTAATTTAATTATTTAATTACATATATATATATATCAATTACTGTTTATTTTTAATTAAATAATTAATGATAATTTGCGAAATAGTAAAATTACTATCAAAACTTAAAATTTAATGGTTAATTTTTGGTTTATTTGATCTCTTTTAAACAGTATATTTTTACGTTTTATAAACTTCCTAACAAACATTAATTTAATATTTTTGAAGTAAATTATTGAAATATTTGTGAACCACGGTCTTATAAATTGTATTAATTTATTTCTATTTTTAATAAAAATATAATTTTCAATTTTTAATTATACTAAATTAATGAAAATAAAAATTTCATCACTTTCAAGGAGTATATTACCAACAACGTAAATTTATTTTGCGGTAAATTTAATTATTTACACTTTTTTTTTTAGAAAAGTTGATAGTAAGCAGAAGTAAAATATTAAATATTTGATTTTTACTTTTATTCCATGTTAATACACAATAATTTATTAGTATATTATGTTAATAATAATTTAATAAATATGTTATTACATAACATAAAAATATCAATTATTAATAAAGTTAATAATTTTGATATAATAAATGAGCAGAAAAAAGATGTGTTAAAATTTTATATATTATTAAAATACAATTTTTTTAAAAAAAAATTTATTAAGAGCTCTTTCAAATAAAAATTAAGGACCAATAACTTTTTTAAAATACTTTAACGTTTTATCATACGTGTAAAATATATATTTAAGGAAAAAAAAAACTAACTTTAAACTTTTTATGCTTTATACGAATTATCTCCTTAATTTACCGAGAGAAATAAGAGTGGTAAATTGATATACAAATTTGTAATTCTCTAAAATTGGACCCCCCCCAGAATTCTAAATTCAATTAGAGTTAGGATTAAAACTAGAAACTACTACTCGGATTAGTATTTACTAATTCCGACTACTACAAGTAAACGAATATTATAATGCCTCCTGCCGAGATAGCGGCTGGAATTGGATATAAAATAAGGGAAGCAGAAGAAGAAGAAAGAGTTAATTTGAGTTCAAATCAAACACCCCACCCACGTACATTAACGCTGCAGCACAACCCTCTTTCTTCTTCTCCTTTTTCCCTCGCGAACGCCAGTTGTTTCCTCCTCATACCTCACCTGTCAACTCCGTCTTTCAAACCCAACACAAGATCTACTCCTTCCAATTCTCTCTCTCCGCTCCTTCTCGTCACATGCGCTGATCTACTCATCCTGTCTGATCTCCGCCTCTCCAGGTATTTCCATTGGATTCCGTCTCCATTCTCTCTCGAATCTCATCTCTCGAGATCTACTGACTCCCGCCCGTGTCTTTTTAGCTCTCTGTTTTTCTTTTTTATTTAGTTACTTGCTTTCCGGTTTTGATCTCAATTTGTACGTAATTCGTGTGCATATATATATATCTAGCGGGTGCTTTTGTCTGATTCGTTGTTCGAAAGTTGTGATAATGCCGGCGGAGGTAGAGAAATTGCACGCTGAAGTTGAGGCTGACGAGAAGGGTCGCCTAGATACGGCCGCGCGTCAGGATCTGCCCAACGGCACCAATCACAGGGGCAATGTCGATGTCGATGCCAATGCCAAGGACGATTCTGATGGTTCCTACGTTTTCGTTGACGGAGAGGACGCCGTTGCTGATGATCCCGTTGAGTCCGATCTCAACGGGGGCAACACCCCTGATGTCGGTGCCTGTGCTGGTCAGGACGAGCATAGTGAGAATGGGATCGTTAAGGAAGAAAAAGTTGAGAGTGGGGAGATACGTGATCGTGTTGGTGAGGAGAATGCGGGAAGGAATGATGGTGCTGAGGATCAAAATGGAGTCACAGCTGTTGCGAAAATTGAGTCGCAACTGCCTGTTGATGGAGTTGAAGTTGGGGTAGAGACTCGGGATTCTGAAGCTGTGGCTTCTGGATATGAATTCGAACTGCCACAACCAGATGATGGGAAAGGTACCAATGGGAAAGGAGACGAGACAGAATCAGACGCGCAAGTGGAAACAAGTCAGGATTCTCGATTGTTAATTGGAAGTTCATCTGATCCTGAGACCCAGCCGCCGAACCATGAGGAGGAGAGGGTTGACGGGCAAAGACAATTAGCTTTGCCTATAGACACCGAACAAAACCAGGAATCTGAAATTGTAGTCCCTGGGGATGTTCCAGATAGTGTCGATCATGGCAACCAACTAGCTGATTTGTATCAGGGGAAGGATGAGGTAGGATTGACCAGTAGTGAGATTCCTTTGGAATCTCAATCTGGGGATGAACAAGTACATTTGGAGCATAATTTACAAACAGATTCTAGTCACGTAACTGAACTACAAGGAGAACCAGAAGCTGTTAGGATTCCTGTCTCCAATGAAAATGGGGATGGCTTGCCGGCTGATGATGCCCATAATATTTCAGAAAATGGCAGTCAAGAGACATCTAAACAAGATAGGTCTTCTGAAGAAGCTGAAAGCTTGTCCTACCCTGTTCAGTGCGAGAATCTACCAGTTGAAAATGCCGAAAGCTTCTCAACTTTTTGTGATAATGATACAAGACTAGATACCACTAGCCAGAGGCCTGAAAGAGATCTTGAGTTGGACTCAAGTCAAGTCTCAAAAATTGATATTGATGTTCCATTACAAGCAGAGCCAGCTGTGGAATATGAGAAGGAAGAGTGCCTTCCTGTGGATTGTGCTCAGGAGAATACCAACGAGATAATTGCTATTGATGATGCTGATGCCAAGCAAAATGCAGGTGAAGAAGCGAAAAGCTTTCCCTTTACAGCTCCAGTTGATGACAAGGTAGCTGAATCAGATGTTGAAATCTCAGCTTTTGAAGTGACAGAAAATTCAGCACTTGGTGTCACTGATGATGTTAGCGTAGAGGCTGAAGTTCTACGGGTGAAATGCATTGAAACTACCAGTGCAGAAACCGAAGGTCAGAATGGTGTAATGAGAAGGATGTAGAGTCAATTTTGCCTGCTGATGGTGTGAGTTTTGATAGCCTCAAGTCTGAAGAGGGAGAACCTAATTTCCCCAAAAAAGATATAACAGTACAAGAGGAAGCTCAAGTTTCGGAAAAGGTCACAGAACTTGATGGAAACCAGCCTGCCCCTGTTTCTGAAACCATAGCAGAATCCCATGAGGCTGTTCCTGTTGAAAATGAAGTTAGATCACTTTGTTGTCTTGGTGATGATGTGAAAATCCAGTCCGAACGTCACTCTGCATCTGGTTTGAGTAATGAAGATATTCCTGGAAATGTTGACACTGTAAACGAATCCAAGGTCCTTAATGGCTCTGAAGAAAATTGTGTATCGGATGCTGTTCATGTTGAAAATGGAGTTCAACATACTGATGGAGATAATGATGAAAAAACGACATGCGGGGAAGTAGGTGGAGTTGAAGAAGTTCGCATAGATGAACCTCCAGCACATTCCCCTGAAGGTTCTACTTGTGATGCTTCTGAGGGGCAGAGTGTGAGTCCAGAGTCGGAGAAAAGACCATTTTACTTTTTGATCAGGATCCCGAGGTATGATGACCAAAGTTTAAAGGAACAGATAAGACATGCTCAGTTACAAGTTGATCAAAAGACAGAGAGTCGTGATGCTATTGGATCTGAAATCCAAAAGATCAGGGTATCTTTGAACATTCTCTTTTTTGGTATATGTGTGTGTGAGTGTGTGTGTGTGTGGAATAAGATTTTGTTTCTTACGAGATATCCTCTTGTGGATAGGCCTCTTGCAAAGACTACAGCAGAGGTTTTGATGCAGTCAGAGCAGAAGAAAATGCTGCACGGGACTTGCTTAGGTCTAAACGCCAGGAAATAGACTCTCTTCATTCTAGGATCAATCTGGTCAAAAGTGCTATGTCTATTGATGACATAGATGGCAGAGTAGGAATTCTTTCTTCCGTCATGCTTACGCGGTTTCCTTCATTTCCTATTGTGCTTATCTGTCTGTGTTTATGCTTGTAAACAGGTGCGTAATATGGAACACATGATAGAGCATGAAACTTTGCCTTTAAAGGAAGAAAAGCAATTGATTCGTGAAATTAAGCAGTTGAAGCAACTCCGTGACCAGATATCATCTAACATTGGGAGGCAGGATGATGTTCAGCAGGCGCTAGACCAGAAAGACCAAATAGAGGAGCGCTTGAAAGTAAACTTTCGTTTTCTCTTCATCATTATGTTAAATACAGAAATTATTTATTTATTTATTGGCCTTCTATTGTTCAATTTGACTTGTTATGTAAAAAGATGGACTTGAAGCATAAAATATGGGCTAGCAAATCACATTCTTCAATCTAAGTAATTAATTTTGTTTGCTAAACACTACTGGACTTTGATAATGGCCAAAATGGAGAGTGATTGATTACCTTAGATGTAGGAACTCCTTTTTTGCATGCAAGCATTATTCTCATCTTGTTTTTTTGGCTTTTAAAGTTGTTGAGGAAGGAAGCCGATTTGCTTAGAAATAATGTCCTGAAAGCTGAGGCAGTCACTAAAGCTGCCAAGAAGAAGTATGATGAGGAAGCTGAAAAGAAACGTCAATTGGACAAGCAGTTCAAAGCTGCAAATGACATTCGCCAGGAAGTATACGCACACTTGCAGAGTTTGAGGAAGCTATTATATGAAAAGGTAATCATTTAATAAGATTTATGATGAGCGAGAACATACTATATTTGCAAAATGGGAGTATGCATTTTCCACAAGGTTAGGTGTGGCCGCATTTTTGAAAGTTCATGTTGAGGAACTTTTTGCAAAAAAACTCTTCTTAGTATTTGAACATTTGAGACATGAATACAGTTGTTTTTATACAACGTATATGAGTTTGTTGCAAGAATCTGGTAGAACTTTTTCCTTGATAAAAATGGTGTAATTCTTTCTGATTTCCTGCAATGGAGTTTTCAGCTACGAAAATCAAATGTAGCTTAGTATTCTTATCCTGACAGGAACACGTCTGGTTTAAGGTTAATGGTATTTAATCACAATGTTTATTGGTGAACGCCAGCTGCATTCTTCTCATTCCATTTGCTGGTCTCTTGAATATCATCTTGTTCTATAAGTTGTTGAGACAATTTTGATGTTTTTTGTTATTGCTGATTTTGGAAATTACAGTTTATTTGCTTGAAGGCAGAAAAATTGAGAAATAAAGTGTGTTTTTAATTGCTTTCAAATCTACAGAACAAAAATTTCCGTAGCTACATGGATGATGCTAATGCTGCCAATGATTTGGCCTCGAAAAGAGATAAGGATGCACTCCAACAACTTTGCATTAACCAGGTGAGATAGTACAGTCCCTTTCATTCCTCTCATCTGATTTACCAGCGTGGTTTTGTGCTGACAAATCGATAAACAGGTGGAGAGAGTCATGAATCTGTGGAACAATGACGATGAGTTCCGTAAAGAGTACATCAGATGCAATGTAAGGAGTACATTGAGGAGATTGAGGACTTTGGATGGCCGTTCACTTGGTCCTGATGAGGTGCCGCCTGTAATTCCTCATTCAATGAATGGAAGAATAGATAAGGATAAAACTGTTCCACAAGTTTCAACTCTTGGAGAAGAAAGGCAGGAAATTGTTGTGACTGTCGAAAGCACTAAAATGGAAGATAATGCTACAATAAATGCTGGGGAACAAAAGAAGCAGAGAAAAACAAAAAATCCTGTGAACTCTGCCCCTCTTGCAAGTGTCTCAGCACCTGTTTCCAACAGAGATGAGATTGAAGAGGTAAGAGAAGAAGAGCCTAAGCCAACAAAAGAAGAAGAAGAGTTGGTTAGGAAGGCAGAAGAATTGAGGAAAGCAGAGGAAGCACGCAAATTGAAGGAGCAGCGTCGGTTGGAAGAGAAGGCCAAGGCAGTGGAGGCATTAGAGAGAAAGAAACGTAGTGCAGACAAGGCCAAGGCTAGGGCTGCAGTAAGAGCTCAGAAGGAAGCTGAAGAGAAAGAGAAGGTTAATGCAAAGAAAGCTCGGGAATAATGAAAATTCAATTTCTATTTTGTATCATTATGACACTTCATTGAATTGCTTCTCTCATAAAATGTGTTCATTCCCTAAGATATACTCTTTTGTGCAGGAAAGGGAAAAAAGGTTAAGGAAGAAGGAAAGAAGGAAGAATGTTGCCGCAGATGAGACAGTTCTCATTAACGAAGAAGAATCTGTTCGAAGCATAGAAAATTCGATGGATCCTCCAAAGGAGGCTGAAACTACAGATAAGGCAATGACAATGGCACAGAAGAATCGGAAACCATCACAGTTTATAAAACAGACTAAGGCAAAATCTATTCCTATACCTATCCGGAATCGGGGTAAGAGAAGGATGCAGCCATGGATGTGGGTTCTCCTTATCGCAGTGGCTCTTGTTGCATTGTTTTTGTTGGGCAACAGCAACTTATCTTTAAAAGCTGGGCTGCAAGGATTTAATTTCTAGATATAATATGGCTCATAATATAAGTTAAGCAATCAATCGACTGGAGATTTTTTTTTTTTTTTTTTTTCATTTATTTTTTGGAAGGGGGGAGGGGGTTGGGTTTCCCTGACATATCTATAGGCAATTCTTTGGTGCTGCTATCAGGTTTGATTTTCTTCTAGCTTGTATTCAATTGGTATAAGTGGCTTTTTCACTCACATGCCACTCGTAGATTTGATTGTTGTTATATTATGGTAATACGAACATAACCGTCCACAATATTGTTTCCATTTACTTTTAAAATAATATAATAAAGCATGAGGATTTTTGGTATCATCTCTCACAAATGGCATTGTGATAAAAAATTTTTCCCTCGTTTGTGGTGATTGTGCAATTGTTTTAGATCACACGACCGATGATTACATAACCTTTTTGGACATGAGTTCTGGTTTATAAAGGTTGCACAAATATTACCAGTTAAAATTAAACTGGCATTACAAGCGAATCTTTTAGGGGTTGTGCTTTTGTTTCAAGGGCGTCTGATTTGGTCATTTTAAATCTCTTAGACAACGCCTGTCTGTTTCATAGTCGTATTTTCAGGCAATTCTTATCCATAATTATTCAACTTTTTAAAGGCTGAATACAAAATACACTAATTTACAAGGTATTATACATTTTGCTTTGTTGTTATTTACTCTCTTAATATCTTTTCTCACTTTATATTGTTTATTACGAATATTCAAAATACACTCACTCATCTATCACTTAAATAGGTTTTGTGTGTTAAGTTGATCGAGAATGAGTGTTGATTGGAGTGTGTTGCCTTCTGAGGAAAGAGGTGGATGTCGGTAGTTGATTGAGAGAAGTTTTGATTACTCCAAACTTAGAATCAAATTCTCGTAGAAGATATAGAATACTAAACCAAAAACAACTGAAAGAAGTAGATTGAATCGTCAGTAAATTAAAAATTAACTAAGAAAGCTAGTATTTTTTTTTTAAATTTAATTAACTTAAACTAATTCGTCAACTTTTCATATTCGTAGAATACGTATTGAGAAAAATGAGGTGTGTATAAATTTATAGGATAAAATACCAAGTATGTGTGTCCGGGGGGGAAATAAATAAAATTTAATGAAATGAAACAGGTCTCTTTCATTCTCATAATCAATGTGCATACCCTGCATCTGTATACTTTAAAAACACAAAACCATTTCAATGCACACACCCTGTACCTGTCTACTTCAAAAGCATAAAACCATATAACTCTGTACCAGAAGAAAAAGTCCATTCCAAAATCCTTTAGCTTTCCTAGTTGCAAAACTTTGAATATACCAACTAAAAAAAGCAGAAACCTGATTTAGAATCCAACAAAAAAATCTGGGCGCACGCACACACTTTGAATACACGAGATTATCCGATACTCTTATGGGTGTGTATTATAAATTTCAAGAGAAAAATAATAGAACAAGTGTAAAATTATTCATACATTCCAATAGAAAACAACCCTAATGTCTCTACTGAATATTTAAATATTGGCAAAGTGGTTCGGCAGGCGAGAGCGAAAAACGTCACTGCATGTATCATTCAACATATTCTAAACGCTGCCATTATCGAACATTTTTAATATTTGTATTATTCTCTCTCTCACCACCCAACTTAATGACATAAATCATATAATATTAAATCAAGTTTAATAAGTCCGGTTCATATATATTACCATATAAAGCATGACCTCACTGGTAAAAAGATTTATTTACTCATTTTATCGAATTAATTATTTCGTACGAATCAAATATATTTTTTATTTAGTAAAAATTAATTTAAAAAAAAAAAAAGGGTCGACGAAAGGGATCACCTAATTTTTTTATTTTTATTTATTTATAGAGTGATGACTATTAATAATAATAATAAAATACTAAATTAAAATTACAGAAATTATTTAATTAAAAATTGAGATAGAAAAAATTATTATTTTAATCCCAAAATTAAATGGAATTATCCAAGATTTTGACTTGTAATAAATACAAAGAGAATCGCGCGGTGAAAAACAGCCGTACGATGAGAGGAAAAGTAGACCTGAGCACATATGAAACTCGTGGTGATGTGCGCGTACGGACTCATCTTTATCTCTTCTTCTTATCAGAAAATAAATAAAAACAAAAACTCCTCTTGTTTTCTTTCCTTTTAAGCTACAGCTGGCTCCTGCTGTCCTTACTGTTCCCAGCGCTGCCTTCCACGCCATTCCTTACATCACACTCGCCACCTGGCGCATTTCCTACCGCAGGATCTGCAAACTGTTCCTCTTTCTAGCCATCCGATTCAAATAAGCATCTTTTTTTTTTTTTTTTTTTTGACTTTCGCACTAGATACTAGGCCAGTTATGTTGACCCACCATTACCATCGTCACAGAAATATCCCACCCCCCAGAATATAACAAGTTTATACTTCATATTTTTTTAGAAATTCACTTTCTTTTTTTCTCTCTTTTAAATAAATACTTTAGGAAATTGAAAGAAATATAATAAACATTCCTTTGAAATAAACTAATAGCTTTATTTAATCGTAATATTTAAAAGTATATTATCATTTTAAATATTTAATAAAATTATATATGAATTGACAAAAAAGTACAAACAAACTAATTAGATTATAATATATAACAAAAAACATTATTATCAATCGGTAAGAGAAGACTCCTCGTATGTCCTCCTCTTTAAATCGTACATGTATAAATTATCATAAAAAATTAACCCTAAAAGTCTACTAAGTTAAATTTTTTTATAATAACAAAGACATGATATCTAATAATATTACTTCTTTGTTCGAGTTACATTTGTGATATAAAATTACACATGTATTTATTATATGATAAACGACGTAGTTATAATATGACATTGTATAATAAAATTATACATTTGTACAATTAAATGTATACGAATTAATGCGAACGGGAGTGGGATAGAGGTCCACCCTATGACCTTTTTGTTGTAATCTGACTCTTACAGTAAAAAAGAATATGTAGTTCTTGTAATTTTTTTTTATTAAAATAAATAATTTAGTATTTTTTCAAAAATAAAATTTTAATGTTTTTACGTTGTAAAAAATTATACCTTTCATATTATATTTACCTTTAGATTCTTTTAGAAAAATATATGTCTGAAAATTTAAATCTCATCAAATTTAATAATAATAATAAAATTATTTATTGGTTTGATTTTTAATAGTTTTATTTTTTACTATGAAAGTGTGGGTTTAATTTGGGCTCCACTAAAAAAGATAGTTTAATAATAAAAATATTAATCAAATTAATACATTTGTAAAATGTCCTCCATACAATGCATTTGGTTCCCTCTTAATGATGAATGGCCACCAGGCGAAGACACTCGATAACACAAAAAAAAAAAAAAAAAAAAAAAAAAAATTTGAACATTCTAATATTTATTTAGTTTCATAAAGGTGATTAATTTAGTTACAAAAATAACTTATAATTTTTTATATTATTTACTTTTTAAAAAAAATAATTCATAAAACATGCACAATTATATTAAAATAAAAATATAAAAAAATAATATAAAATTTTATATGATTCGACAGTGTATTTACATCAACGAGTAATACCAACAATAAAATATTTTACTATAAATCTTATAATACATCATCAATAAATTAGTAAATCTATTTATATGATTCGACAGTATATTTTTTTAAAAAAATAAAAATTATTTAAAATATACATTAAATATTTTACAGGATAAATACAAATAAAACTCACATAAATTATTAGTATAAATAAACATCACAAACATTCAAAACACATAAACATTTATTTTATAAATATATAAATTAATTTTTAATGAAAGTTTTACCAAATTTCGATGTAATTTTTATATTATTTAATAATATATAAGATGAATGAATTGAGTGTTCCAAAAAAACTACTATGTCATTCAAGCAAGTGAAACTATTAAAATGTTTAAAATTTGTAACTAAATTCAATCACAAATAAAAAATATTTATAAATAACTTTTAAAACTTTTAATACAATGGGTACGAATGAAATAAGATAGTAAAATAATAAATTAACTAATATTTTAAATTGATATTGCTTATGAATGCAAAATATTATGCAAGTACAATACATATGTGTGTTTTGCAAATTCTTTGTTGAGATTAAATTCCATAGATTTGCATAATTGAGATCTTTAAAATCATAATTATATTTACAGTTCAATCATAATGTATGGGTTATAAGATGATATTTTTATAAAATGAGTTTAAATTTTATAAAAAAAAATATATATATAAAATATAAAAACTATGTTAAATTACAAGAATAAAAGTTCATAATATAATTTTAAAATTTTAATTAGTGCCTTACAAGTAGTTTTTATAGGTTGAGTTACGAATTACTTCATGAATAGATGTGTAAAGTTTCTAAACCTTATTTCTAAACAATTAGAGTGATTAGGTTTGATGTACGATATGAAGAATCCTAATTGGTTCGATAAATCTTTTAGTTAGTGGAAGGAGACTCGCAATTACTATTTAAATTTTGTTTGTTTTTGGATATGTTGTTAGCTTACGTCAATTCCTTTTTTACACAGACTTGGTTCCCGAGAGAACAAAATTAGCCAACCCATCTACTTGTTTAATGGGCATCCCGAACATAAATTTGTGGGCAATTTGGCTTTTAACATACTGTAATTTTGTATATACATGCACCCACTTGTGCTCTCTATTTTGTTTCTCTCAGTATTTATTACATTTCATTAAAAATAAAAAATAAAAGTAAGATAAATAATATTAAATTATTTTTCTTAAAAAGTTTTGAAAGTAATCAATTATTTTCTTTTCAAAATTTTAGGCCAATAGAAATCTATACAATTGTTATATATATATATATTTTTTATATTAGACATTTTAGTTTCTGTATTTATATATTACATTATTTAAAAAAAAAAAATCCTTATCGCTTGGGTCCAAATTCATTTTAAACCTTTTTTTTTTTTACTTATTACTTTTTGGATTAAAGTAGTAAATGGTAGAAATAAAATACACTTCATTTATCAACTAATTTTATTATTTTAGAGTTGACGGTACTACTTTTAATTTAATTAAATAAATTATTCTTTTAAAAAATAATAACATAATAATAATTATTTATGGATGAGCGAGGGTGGCTCGTTACCAAGCACTAGAGCGTAGAGGCTAGAGGCTAGACGCGGTGGCGCCATCCGTCTGGAGTCGACGTTTGGGAGATGGGACCACCCAAGTACTCAGGACCACTTTCAGCCCTGAATCCACTTTCATTTATGGGATTAATACGCCCCTGGGCCCACTGTCTTTATATTTATTGTTTTTACGAAAATTAAATGTCATTAATTAAATTTTGTACTCCGTTTAATCATGTTAGTACTTTATTAAATATCATAATTTATATTTTCTAAGTTTTTCTTAACTTTATAATAAGATATAATTGCATTATCTTATTATAATATAAGTTTGCACGAGAAAGTGCCTTTAATTTTAATTTATTATAAATTTGATATAAAATGATTATGTTTTATTTGTTCAAAATTTTATATAAAAATTATCGTATAAATTAGAGATGAAATTAATAGTTGTAAAATTTAAAGAAAAAAGAAAAAAGGTTGGAGAGAAGTCACAGCAGCCGACCAGATGCATCGTACTTCAAAACCCAGCTGGTTCCCACACGTCTGTGTGTCCGGATGCTGCTACCACCACCACCACCACCACCACCACCACCTCCATCTTCTCCTTTTCATCTACCAGTAACACTCTATTATTTGTCCTTCTTCACACTTACCTACTATTTTCATATTTAATATTTGAAAGAATAATAAGATTTTAATCTCCCCCCCAAAAGAAAAAAGTAATTTTTTCTTTCTTAAAGTAAGTTTACCAACACCATCTAGTAGTATTACAAGTAAATTAATATATTTTTTACCCTTGGCCAAGTTGTGTGTGTGAGTGTGTATATATATATATATATATATATTTATTTTAATTTTTTTAGGAAGGTAATGAGGAAATTATAAGAAAAATAAAAATAAAAAGAAAGAGAAAAAAGGGTAAAAGAAAAACAAGTGTGGGAAGTCAATCAAAATCAAGTGAAACGGTGTGTACAGTGCACGCGCAAAGTAGAGAACAAAATTGTACTTGTAGTAGGGTTGGCGCCTTGGGGCTCATGAATACTGTACTGCTTACTGTCTAATCGTGATTTTCGGCACCGTACGAGGGTAATTTTGTCATTCCAGATGGGGATTTGGCACCGGTACTTCTTAACCATGTGAAAATAGGACGGCACCTTTTTTTTTATTTTATTTTCTTTTAACCTTTACGTGACGCCGACGACATCCCTAACGCCCTCAAAGTCACACCATTTTCGTCTTCTCCCTTTCATTTTTATTTTTTTATTTTTATTTCTTCATAATTAAAATCAAATTAAAACTATTTTAAATCAAAAATATATATTTATTTTTACCTTGTATTTGAATAAAGTGGACTAATTCATATCATATATATATATATATATATTTTTTAAAAATATTTAAGTAGGGATGAATGAAAATTTGAGATTTTTCTTAAGAAAGTTCAAGTACAAAACTTATGGACGCATTTTCAAAGATAATGTATCTATCGACTATAAGGTAACAGATATGTCAATTTCAAGGACACCCACACTAACTCCCTTGACTAATTTATGTTTTAAGTGTAAAAAAAAAAAAAAAAAAAAAAAAACACCCCCTTCCCAATTTTAACTTTTTTTTTTTTTTTTTACTTTCTTTATTTTTTGAGTCATTTTTCACTTTACTTTCAATTCTTCCCCCCCCGCCCCTTTCAATCCAAACCCTTCAAATCTATCTTCTCAACAAACTTTAATATTAAAAAATATATAATCATTTTACTTTTTATTGGTTACAAAACTTTATAATTTGTACTTGATGCATACGGGACAATAATTTCTTTAATTGCATTAAGTATTAATTTACATTTCTAATTGTCATGCATAATAAGTTTATAGTGAATTAAAAAGTCTAAAACTTGTATAAGATAATAGTTTATTTATTTGAATTATTATGACACAACGTACTTTAATCCACTATAAATTATGAATAAAAAAAAACATTATAGTTTTTACTATCAATATTGTAGTATTACCCTGGTAATTTCAGGAAGGATAATTATTTCTACAGTAACATCTTAATTATTTCTACAGTAACATCTTAATTATTTCTACAGAGAAACGGCATCGTTTTTTTTGTAAAGAGAGGTTATTCGGGGAAATAAGGCGTCACAATCGTCGGTCTTATCTTTGGTACGACGATTGGCCAATGTTGTTCCACACGTGTGTGATAGGAGCTAACGAGAACGGAACACGGGAGCAGTAAAATTCCACCCAAAATGAAAAAATATATATATTTTTTTTCAAAACAAAAAAAAAAAAAAATCAAGCATGAAAAATAACTTTTCATTAAATAGGTAAGAGTGTGTGAACTGTGAATTAGGAAAAAAAAAAAAAAAAAAGGTGGTGCTTGGATTTCATCCTCAAGGGTGGTTTCTCAGTTAGAAAAACAAAAAAAAAGAAAAAAAAAAGAAAAACAGAATTTGCCAAGGAAGAGTCTTGGATTCTTCGCAGGACGTGGCGGTCCAAACTGCGACCCCGATGTTGCTTCAATTTACGGTTTATGCCAACACCGAAAGAAATGAAAAGTTTGTTAGAAGGTTAAGACAGAGTAAAAGTTGAAGAAATTGAGGGAGAAGCAAGAAAAAAAAAAAAAAAAAAGAAACAAAGGAAGAAGAAGAAGAAACAAAAAGCTTTGGAGAAAGTCTTTCCTGGTTTCTTATTCCCAGATCGGTTTATTAAATCCTTCCGTCTCCGATTGGCTCAGTTCAGTCTAAGATTCCGACTTTTCAGTGAATTGATTTTGAGGTTTCTCTAGTAGGAGCGTATAGCGGCTGACTTGAGGGATAAAGCCGGTTGTGGAAGAGGGGATTTAGATCTGTGGAGTCTTTTTCTTTCAATTCAGTTTCTGGGTTTGATTTGTTTGGGAGAAAGGAGATGTGTATGCAATCGAGAATTGTTTGAGGTATGTAGTTTAGGGCCCTATATTTATGCAGTAAATTTAGCTCTCCTTTTGGTTACTTCATTTGCTCTTACTTGTTTATTCGAACAACTCCATCTTTGTGTGATCTCTCTGTCTTCTCTGGAATGTTTTCAAATTTGGTGGTGTAGGATATCAGCTTAGAACCCAGAAGCTTTGGTCTCTTTTTACCTCTCAAATTTTGAGGGACGAAGGACTGAGATAAAGGTTCTGTTTCTATCTTTTTGATCTTATGAAGGTAGGTTCTTGTGAGTCCGAAAATTGAGAGAAAGATGGAGGAAGTTGGTGCGCAAGTGGCTCCTCCGATTTTCATACACCAAACACTTACCAGTAGATTTTGTGAAGCGCCTCCAATTGGAAGAAAGCGGGATCTTTCCTACCAGACCCCAAATTTTCTCCCTCACCACAACCATCAACAGCAGCTGCTGCCGCCGTCCAACTCTCAGCAGAGATTTATGCCCGCTCGAGACAACTGGAACCCTAAGCTATGGGACTGGGACAGCGTGAGGTTCGTGGCCCAGCCTTTGGACCCGGAGGTTCTGCGGCTGGGAAATCCCGCTGCGACGGAGCAGAGGAAAATCAAAGATTATATTGGTGGGAATGGAAACGCTGCTTTGACTTTGAAGAAGAACGCTGTTGGGCCAGAAGAAGACGAGAGCCTTCAGTTGAATCTGGGTGGTGGCTTGGTGGCCGTAGAGGAGCCGGTATCCAGGTCAAATAAAAGGGTGCGCTCTAGGTCTCCTGGTGGCGGCAACTATCCAAAATGTCAGGTTGATAACTGCAAGGAAGATCTGTCTAATGCCAAGGACTATCATCGTCGGCATAAAGTGTGTGAACTTCACAGCAAAGCCACTAAAGCACTCGTCGGCAAGCAGATGCAGAGGTTTTGTCAGCAATGCAGCAGGTGCCTTTTTCTTCACCTTAGATATTGCCTTTCTCTATATGAATTTTTCACTTCACTTTGTTTCGCTTTATTTTGGTTTTAATCTACGCGGTGGAGTCTGTTTGAGACGTTGTATACCCATTTAGTCTATTAGAGGTTTTGTTAGCAAAGTGTATACTTTTAACTAATTCAAATATAAAAGGGAAAACCCGTGGTGAGAGGAGCTAATTTAGTAAACTGATGCTTAAGGTTAACTTGTGTGAAAAGATGTGGGGATGGGGAAATGGGGTTGACTAAATTTCTTTGCTTGAACCTGCTTTGAAGCAAGCATTTATTTTCTGCAGATTTCACCCCCTCTCAGAGTTTGATGAGGGTAAGAGAAGTTGTAGGCGTAGACTTGCTGGCCACAATAGGCGAAGAAGGAAAACCCAGCCTGAGGATGTTACCTCACGGATGTTACTCCCTGGAAGTCAGGATAATACTACAAATGGAAAATTGGATCTTGTTAATTTGTTGGCTGCCTTTGCTCGTGCACAAGGTAAAAAAATAGTGCCTTGCCCCCTAATTCCTCATCCTTTTTCTGATATTTTACTAAAATTTAATTATTTGCTATCTTCAGGGAAAAATGAAGATAAAAGTGTCAATTCCTCAACCGTGCCAGATAGAGACCAACTCATTAATATTCTTAATAAAATAAATTCATTACCTTTGCCGGTGGACCTTGCTTCAAAGTTGCAGAATGTTGGAGGTTTCACCAAGAAATTACCGGAGCAGCCTTTGTCAAACCACCAAAATGAAATGAATGGAACTTCTCGATCAACCATGGACTTGCTTGCAGTTCTCTCAGCCACTCTAGCTGCATCTTCTCCAGATGCCCTTGCACTTCTATCTCAGAAGAGCAGCCAGAGCACCGTCAGCGACAAAACCATGTCAACTGTCCCCGACCAAACTGCAGGTACAAATTTGCAAAAGTGTCTAGAGTTTCCTGCGGTTGGAGGGGAAAGAAGTAGCAGCAGTTACCAGTCTCCAGTTGATGATTCAGATGGCCAGGTTCAAGATGGTAGATCTAATTTACCATTACAGCTGTTTTGCTCCTCACCTGAGGATGACAGTCCACCAAAACTGCCATCTTCGAGGAAGTATTTCTCTTCTGACAGCAGTAATCCCATTGAGGAGAGGTCACCATCTTCATCTCCAGTTGTGCAGAAGTTGTTCCCAATGCAGGTCACTACCGGAACTATAATGTCTGAGAAGATGTCAATTGACAAAGAGGGTAAAACACATGTTGAAAGTAGCAGAACTCGGGGCATGCCACTTGAGCTCTTTGGCAGACCAAATAGAGGAGCTGATAATGGTTCTGTTCAAAGTTTCCCATATCAAGCAGGATATACCTCTTCTTCTGGGTCTGATCATTCACCTTCTAGCTTGAATTCTGATGCACAGGTATTAGGTCTATAATACTTTAGATTTATGTTTAAACTTTTAGTTGCTTTCTTCTACTGTTTGTACGTGGCAGTTTCTCACCAACTACTTTGTTGGTTCCTGTATAGGACCGCACTGGGCGAATAAGTTTTAAACTATTTGACAAGGATCCGAGTCATTTCCCTGCTGAACTGCGGACACAGGTGATGAAGCTAAAGGTTTACGGGTCTATTGTCTTATATTTTTAGGATCCTTGAAAGTCCTATGAAGGTTTCTTCTTCCTTATATTTCAGATCTTCAATTGGCTTTCTAACAGTCCCTCAGAAATGGAAAGCTACATTAGACCTGGTTGTGTTGTTCTATCAGTTTATGTCTTAATGTCTTCTGCTGCCTGGGAACAAGTGAGTGAATTATTAATAGGAAGTTGGTGGTTTATAGAATTAGTTCCTTTTTTTCTGACCACTTGCAGGGTTTTCTTTCAGCTCGAAGGAAACTTGCTTCAACAAGTCAATTGCTTGGTTCAAGATTCATATTCGGATTTTTGGAGAGAAGCAAGGTTTTTAGTTCATATTGGAAGACGCTTAGCATCTCATAAGGATGGTGAGTATCGATAGGATGGTGATCCTGATCTTTCTTTAGGTTCAGGCTATTTAAATTTCCTGTTTATTGTTGTATTTTCTTTACCATGATATTTAGTCCTGAAAACTGAAATGAGAACTTGTTTTTTTTGGTCTACCTATGTTTGCATGGAAACAATCTTCAGGAAAGATTCGTCTGTGCAAATCTTGGAGAACATGGAGTTCCCCTGAGTTGATCTTGGTATCCCCTTTGGCAGTTGTTGGTGGGCAGGAAACAACACTTTCATTGAGGGGTAGAAACTTGTCCAATCAGCGTACCAAGTAAGTTGATTGCTCTTTTTTTTTTTTTACATTCTCTTGGTTCTCCATTTTTGTTTACCTGGGTGGGGGTATGAGGAGCAGGAAGGCGTTGTCTTTCACTACAATTTGTCCTCTTTATCTAAATGTTAGCCAACACTCTGCAGGATCCACTGTATGTATACGGGTGGCTATAAGACAATGGAGATTACAGGATCAACTTGTCAAGGAACTGCATATGATGAGATAAAGTTGGGTGGTTTTAGAATCCAAGATGCATGTCCTGGGGTTTTAGGCCGCTGTTTCATTGAGGTAGTATTTTTTAATATAATAACTCAAGTTGCATGATGTGAAGTTGTACAAAGTCTGAATCTTGCCTGTGGCATATGAGCAGGTTGAAAATGGTTTCAAGGGCAACAGTTTTCCTGTGATAATTGCTGATGCTACCATTTGTAATGAGTTGAGGGTCCTTGAGAATGAATTTGATGACGATACTAAAGTATGTGATATCATTTCAGAAGAAAAAGCTCGTGATTTTGATCGACCCATATCAAGAGAAGAAATTCTGCATTTCTTGAATGAACTTGGGTGGCTTTTCCAGAGGAAAGCAACCATTACCAAGCTTGAGTCTTCTGATTACTCACTTAGCCGGTTCAAATTTTTACTCGTATTCTCAGTTGAAAGGGACTTTTGTGCTTTGGTAAAGGCGCTCATTGACATGCTGGTGGAGAGCAATTTAGACATACATGGATTATCAAAGGAGTCATTGGAAACATTAACTGAGATTCAGCTATTAAATCGAGCAGTTAAAAGGAGATCCAGGAAGATGGCTGATTTGCTCATTCATTATTCTATTGGTGTAGCTGATGATACCTCGAGGAAATATATTTTCCCACCAAATCTAGTTGGACCTGGGGGTATTACACCATTACATTTGGCTGCATGTACATCAGATTCGGATGATATGATTGACGCCTTAACAAATGATCCACAAGAGGTATTTCATTGGTCTTTTTTGATAAAAATAAGTTGATTCATTTACTAGTTTGTTTCTTCAGAATAGTTTATCTATGTTTTCTTTTTTCCTTTTCCCTCGTAAGATTTCAACTTTTTTTTTAAATGTTCAATCTTGGGCAGGCTGAGAATTTAAAGTTTCTTCAAGTAAAAGCCAACAATTTTTTTAAAGAAAAAGAAAACTAAGGCGTCTGTATTTCACCCCAAAAAAAAACTAAAGCATCTGAATTTACCTTCTTTGCGTACACGCTTAATCAAACAAAGAAGTGACATTGGGTCTTGCCTTTGGTTTTGACTAGCTTAGGTTCAATTCTTCTATACCAACTTTTTTTCTTCCTTAAGGTTTTCATCTTGGACTTAGGGTGATGTTGGCTTAGGGGCTATTGTGCCTAGTTAAAAGCAGACTTTTTGGATGAAACCTACCATTTTAGCAATGCCTGACCGTCTATAATCTGTGGATATAATACTTTTTGCTGTATGTGATGTTCTTAGTAAAAATTGTT